TGTCGCAACCTAAGAGTAAACTGATATGGAAAAAGAGCAAGAATCACTATGGCGACGCTTATGCAACCATGAAAAGATCCTCGCATTGTCAAACTCAAGTAACCTCCAAAAAAATTATCATTAAAAAATCTAGGAATTGCAGAAAGAATTCCGAAACAGGTTCGTCAACTATCAAGTTATCAGCTTTATAATTCCACCATTGTTTCAAAAACTCTTAGGATTACGAATTTTATTTTAATCTGAGACCAAACACATGAAGACAAATTTAAAAATGATTGGTCTCCAACTCCAGTTGGTGTTCACAAATTTAGAGATATTGTGGCGGATCTCGAACAAGAAATAGAACAACTTTTATTGTGTGGCGAGACTAGCCTAAACAACTGGCAAATCCCGTTTAAGTGAAGAATGCTAATAATACCTTTGAGCGACCCGTTAACAAAAATCTAAAGATTGAAAAAACACAGTATAATGAATACAGTAGCAGAGAAGGAGTCAATTGTATTGGCTTTCAGTAGCTTCAGTGTAGTCGTCTCTACTGGTGGGTTACATGCCCGCTCAACTGCCGAACTTTCATTCCACATTTGCTGATAGTTACGACCTGCTGAATCCCGACATGATCGAGGTGGCTGCAATCATTGCTATTACGATATCGGCTGTACCTACAGTAACGCGTCAGAAAAACACGAACTCTCACCGTGTATTCGCGACAATTCTCATCGCAAATATGACAGAGAGTAATATGACAAGAGACGAGTAGCTCTTCAACCCCTGCTTGTCGAATTGACAGCCATCCCACTGAGGCTGCACGTAGGAAAGAGGCGTACGAAGGCGAGTGTAGCAGAGCAGATTCGGCAGTACAGCTGTGAATTAACAATAGACAATATAAGGCATAGAGTGCAATTTCTAAGACGAACTAAAAAGTTGTTGAAACAAAAAAAATTATCTGCCTTATAAATGGCCTACCCGTCGTGTTTCACTATGTATACCGGACTCTTCCTCGTACCAACCCAGCAGTCTTCCACTCGCATCGCGTGAAATGCTGAAAATCGTCTAGATCGATCTCCTATTAAAGCTAGGAATGATATTCTATT